TTGCCCTTGGACCTCCCACTTCCAACTCCCAACTTCCAAACCTTCCACTTCCAACTCCCAACTTCCAAACCTCCCACTTCCAACTCCCAACTTTCTAACCTCTCACTTCCAATTCCCAACTTCCAAACCTCATACTTCCAACTCCCAACTTCTAACTCCCAACTCCCTAGAACCTCAAATTCCCTATTACCTAGAACCTCAAACTTCCTACTCCATAGTCCCAACTTCCTACCCCCTATACCATACTCCTCACCTTAGATGATCATACACCCTATCTCATACACTACGCTAACCCACTTAGGTTCATTCATCTTAGACCTAGACCCTAAACCTTAACCCCAAAGCTCACATCTCTCTAAGGGGCGCTTAAAGGGGACCCTCAAAGGCTCACATAAACCCAAGCCAGCCTAGGTCCACTCTTCTCCTCTTGCGCTCTCTCTTCTTTTTTCACTCTTCTTTCTCTTTCTTCTCGCTCTTCTCTTTCTCTCTCTTCATTCTTTCTTCTCTTCTCTCTCTTGTTTACTTAAAAAGGAGGCTGTTTGAGTTAGTGACTTTCTGATAAGCTAAGCCCACGACTTCGCTTCCGGAACCCTCCGGGTATCAACGCTTCGAGCCTAGTACCTTCCTTTGTCTCCAGTAATACCTCTTAGGGGAGGGTACGCCAGAAAGTCGCCCAATTCCTGGGTCTTTTCTTCCTCTCTATCTTCTTTCTTCTCTCTTCTTCTTCTTCTTTTTTTCTCTCTATTCTCTGTCTCTCTTTTTGCCCTCTCTCTCTCTCTACTCGAACGCAGGGCGGTTCCGAGATCTCACTCTCTCTCTCTTACTTTCACTCTCTATCTCTTTTCACTCGGACCCAGGGCAGGTCCAAGCTCCCACCCTCTCTTTCTCTCTTTGTTCTCCCTTTCTCTCTCTCTCTCTTTTCACTCTCTCTCTCACCTAAAGTCATGGACTTGCACCTTGGGTGGGCCCATCTCCTTTTCCCTCTCTTTGCTTTCACACTTCTCTCTCCCGTTTAATCACGGACTTGCACTAGAGGCATGCCCGTCTCCCTTTCCCTCTCTCTCTCACTCTCCCTCACCCTCTCCTCCTCCTTCTAGTTTCCGGGCCCGCGCCAAAAGCAGGCCTATTCCCTCTCTCTCTATATCTCTCTCCCACACCCTCTCACCCTCTCCTAGTCACGGACCCGCGCCATAGGTGGGTCCGTTTGCCCTCTCTCCTCCTTCACTCACTCTCCCTCGCTCCCTCACTCTTTCCCTCCAAGCTACGGACCCGTGCCGTAGGTGGGTCTAGCCTCTCTCTTGATCTCTCCCTCTCTCATCACCTCTCTCTTATCGCCTTAGACACGGACCCACACCATAGGCGGGTCTGCCCTCTTCTCTTCATCACTCTAATTCTCTTCTCTCACTCTTTTACTCCACTCTTTCTCTCTCTCCCTCACCTCAACCTACCACATAAGACACTTGAATTCGCACCATAGGCGGGTCCATCTTTTTTTAACTTCTTTCACTCTTTTCTTTCTCATGCTAATTACTCTCTCTTTCTAATCCATATATTCATCTCTCATTGACTCATTTTATTTTGTTTTTATCATTTCTTTATTTCCTCTCTTTACTTGTTGCTTCTCTCACCCTTGAGCTCTCAATTTGGGGTCTTCCTGAGATAGTGCCTTAGGGTTCTAACTCTTGGACTGCTACTCTAACCATCAGCTCGTACGGTGTAGTTGAGTCGTAAAAGATACCGATTCTCTTATACTCGATCACTCGGGTTGGGTCATCTTGAGTCAACTTTTCTTAGAGTTCTAACCCTTACACTACTCAAACCACCAAGTGACACAGTGTTTGGGTTGGTGAGGGGCTTCCATCACTTTTGCTCTTTCTCTCACACTTTCTTCTCTCCCTTGATCACTTTTAGGGGGCACTTTGCGTTAGTGACATGGTTACAAGCTCTGTCCTGTAACTGCACTTTCAAATCCTCCGGGTACCAAGGCTTTGAGCCTAATGCTTTCCCTTGTCTCTGGTAATACCTCTTAGAAGAGGTTACGCTGGGAGGTTGCCGAATTCTCGGGTCATATCTTCACTTCTTCTATCTCATCATCTTCTTCTTTTTCTTCTTTTTACCTTTAAACTAAACTCCCCAACAATTCACTCTTATTCTTCTCTTTGTTCTCTTTTTTCTCTCTCTTTTCTTCTTCTCTATTACTCTTAACCCCTAGGCTAGACTCCCCAATCTATCATATAATTACCAATAGGAGGAGATCCCAAAAAGGTTTACCTTGAAGGCCATTTTTAGTGTGTGGATCCAAGTGTTGTGCAGTGAAGTGAGGGAGCTGAATTCAAACCACGCTGCAAGGACAGCCGGAGGGCTTTCGAAATAATCTAAGAGGGCGCCCGGACGTGTCCCCCAAACTCAAACAGCGAGGTAGCTGCTCGAACCCTTCTTTGCCGATTAAAATATCTCCTTGTTGGTTTCTATCCGCACATCACTCACACACACACACGCGCGCGCGCGCGTAAGCCGTTCGGTTGTTCAAGAGAGGATTCCTCCGACCGGGTCACCCATATCATGCCGACCTGGGACGACGAGAAATCAGGCCCGACTAGTGAGTTTTAGGATGGCAGCATTAGTTGTCACTCAGAAGGCCTATCTGTTGGAAATAACTTATCTTTAAAGATAAGTAGAAATTATCTTTTAGAAAGAGCAAATAACATGAGATTTCGGGAGAGAAGGAAGAGAGGTGAAAGAAAATAGGGAGATAAGGAAGAGATAAGGAGGTGAAAGAAAATAGGGAGATAAGGAAGAGATATGGAGGCTCCACGTGAGAGAAAATAAGGATTTAGAGAGTACATGAGTTTTAGAGAGGAGTTTATATTTTGTGGTTTATTTATTTTTTTTGAAATCTAGATGTTTATTTATTTATCTTCAAAGTGTATTTAAAAGAAAGAAGTCCCTCAGTTTAGAGCAGAGAATTGGATTTGACTGAAGAATTTGGGTCTTGTGAAAAGATCTTTTGGGTGGACTTCCTTGTAGATCTAGACAGGGCATATTTTCTCGCCTTTTATTATTGTTTTTATTTTATTGTTTCATGCCTTCATCTTCCCTGCATCATTAGGTTGGTCTTACTCTATAGCATAAACATTGGCTTATAGAGTCTTCCTTTTTCCTATAAGAAATAGATCTTGCAAACCCAAAGGCTTACACTATCATGAGGCCGTTGGAGCTAGTGGTCATTCTTGGACCCCAAATTTTGTATCCATGTACATATCATTGGTGATAAAAAACAATCTAAAATTGCACAAAGAAAAGGGGGAAGTTTGCCTCTTTTGATGAACATAGACCATATTTGATGGACAAATGATCTTAGCCTTCAAGAAATCAAAGCTGATTTTGTTTTTGTTTTTATTATTTATTTCTCGATCCAAGATAAGTTATTTTGAAATCCTTCTTGAGTCTGGATGCCTAGACTGAACATATTTTAAAGATGATGAGCTTGAAGCCCTTTTGGGGATACTTGAGAGCTCCAAGACTTCTATTAGAGGCCAGCAAAAGAAGACAGGCTGATCTGGACTTCTAATATATTTTCAGTTGAATTTGTTTACAAAATTTAAGTACTCCATCAAGAAGTCCCCCAGAATATAGTCTAGAGTTTGGTCTGACTTAGCCCGACCGAAAATTCAAGCCTTTGGATGCGTAGTTTTACTGAACAAAGTCCTAACTACTGAACCCCTGATTAGTCAACGGATATTGGATGTATTTCCCCAATAAATGTGTTGTGTGCGCGGATGAGGCTGAGGATGTGAACCATCTATTTCTTCATTATGAAATGGCAGGAAGAATTTATTATCATTTTCTGACACTATTTCAGATTCAAGGGGTTATCCCAGGATTAATCCAATAGCTGTTGAAGCTGCAGATGACCCCAACTCTTCCTCAAAGAGGATTTTTACTATGGAAAATGTGTATCAACTCTGTGGGCTATCTAGATTGTGAGAAATAGCCATGCAATTAAAATGAGATACCTTGGAATGATTGATTACGAGACTGGGTTAAGCTATAGTTGCATCATGGGCTCGAGTCCAGAAGGAGTTTTGGGGAGTTCAGTAGAAGAATTTGAGAACCAACAACATTCAATTATGAATAGTTCCTTGAGTATTGATAGTGGATCTGTGGAGTGGGCACCACCAAAAGATGAAACTCAATTTTGATGGCAATTCCCAGGTAACCCAGGAGTGGTTGGAGTTGGGGGGTTGCAGGGATCACTTAGCAGTATTTGGATTGCCTACTAGGTGTGAAGTTCGTGAGGTGGAGGCATGGGCTTTATTTCTTGGGCGTGCAAAGTCTAAAACTAGAGTGTAGGGAGCTTGGAATAGAGTGACTCAAATAATGTCATTTTCTGGCAAAGAAGGAAAGAACTCCACCTTGAAGGCCTGCATGTGTTTTTTAGTAGTCTTTTTAATACTTAGTGCAATCTCAGCTACTCCCCGTCACTTATGGAAGGAAGCAAAGGAAATTGCTGACCATCTAGCTCAAGAAGGCCTCCAGTAAACCATTTTTGAAGATTGTGTCCCCAGAGTCCTTATGGATAAATTTTGTTAATATAGACTTGTAAAATATGATTGCATTGATGAGTTTTAGTTGATGATTAAAAACACAACAAAAATGGGAAAAATTCAGTAAAAAAAAAAATCTCTGCATGTGTTTTACCCCAGTGCTTATACTGTAGCATAAACATGTTAGCTCGCAGAATCTTTCTTCATGTGTATGTACATATTGTATGTACATATTGTGTTAACATATGGCTTAACCACCGACTTACTACCCAAAACCAAACACAGAATATGGAGTAAAAAGAAAGAAAAAAGGGTTGATTCTACAAAAAAGGTAGGTCTCAAATGCCAAACATTAGACCCACTCTTCTACTAATGAATTTGTAATGCTCTTCCCTTGTCTCAACTATTGTCCTTTCCATCTCTATATCTTCTCAATCATTTATATTTGTGCAGGGAAAGTGCAAGCCCGGACAAGGTGAAAGAGGCACATAGGAGGGTAATGGTGGCAAACCACCCCGATGCAGGTGGCAGCCATTACCTTGCTTCGAAGATTAATGAAGCCAAAGATGTGATGCTTGGAAAAACCAAAGGTAGTGGGTCGGCATTTTAGAAAGAGAGAGAATAATTAAATGTAAAAGAATGTAATGCCCAATTTTCAAAGTATGCAAGATCACATCATTTCAGAGGTTAGTTCAAGACTAGAGTATGTAATGTGTTAATTTTGCAGTGACATGTTGTATTTTTCTTTTACCATTCATTTATCAGGTGGGTTTAATGGAAAAGGATATAAAATGGTGAGTATTATTATCATATGTTTATATCTAGGGCACGGTTTCTATGAGTTCATGTCGAAATAAGTCACTTCTTAAAAATCTATTTTTGAGATGGATTTTGGACTTAATTTTTAAAGACATGTAATTTTAAAAATAAAAAAATTCATGATGGAGATGTGACAGGATTAGATTGGATACCAACCTAACAAACCCACCTTTTACCTCATCCGGGTTTGGGACCAGCTATGGTGGAGTTATTTTTTGTTAGCGATTTAAGACCAAAAAAAAGCAGCAACAAACTAGCGATCAACTAAGGCATGGGCACAGAATAAAGTACGTTAACACTATTGTACTCGATTTCTGGTCTTAAGTATTCATAAAATATCAAATATTTCTATTAGAAATAGCGAGAAATTCACCGTCCCACTTATTTGCCCTAACCCCCCTCCCTCCTTGTGGCTTTCTGTTTGCTTCTTTGCAATAGTGAAGGGACAAGCGATGCCATCTTTAGGGCTGGCAACGGGCTAAGACAACCTTGGCCCTAGTCTGACCCTATTCCCTTGAGGGCCGACCGTGGCCGGGTAAAATTAAAGAAAAAAAGAAAACAAAAAAGAGAAAAAATATGTAGGTCGGCAGAGCATGTCTTGGCTTGGCACAAGCACGATGTTTGTGGCCCATGCCTTAGTTATTTATGGCGAGGTAGGGCAATTTGGCCCATTGCCAAGACTAGCCATCTCTCAACTTTCCCCGTCAAAGATAGGAAGTATACGTTTTTCAAAAACTAGTTTTCTTCCGAACACCAGCCACTTGCCCCTTTGGAAGAAAGTATTTCTTTCAAGGGAAATTATAAAAAAATCCCAAGACTACACTTTCTATGCAATTTACCTCCAACTTAATTTTTTCTCATTTTTTTTTCAAAAATACACTTTTTATGCAAATACTTCTGCCCCCTTCTCAAAGACTATACTTTCTATACAACTTACCTTCAACTTAACTATTTCTCTCACTTTTTTATCCAAAATACACTTTTTGTGCAAATACACCCCCCCCCCCCTCCAACCAAATAAAAAATAAAAAAACCCCTCAAATACCCTCCCTTACTTTTACCTTATCCACCAAAATAGAGCCTCTTTCTTCTATCCCACCAAAATAGAGGCTCCGACACTGTGTAAGTGCGGTCTGGCAGTAGGGCTGCTCCGGCACTTTGTAAAACACTGTGTAAATGTGGTTTGGCAATAGGGCTCTGGCACTTTGTAAAGGGTGGTTTGGCATTAGGGCTTCGGCATTGTGTAAAGTGCGGTCCGGCAGTTGCAAAGGGTGGTCCGGCAGTAGATGTTACTGGATTCTCAGCCATGGTCCTGGGCATGCTATGATAAGGTCTTCAATCATTGAAGGGGTGACCCCTTGCGGAACTTAGTCTTGAGATTGCCAATCTTCATGGTTGTGCTGCTTCCCTGAGTACTTTAGACTGTGAGAAGGAAGCCTTTACTCATTTTGACAATCTTTTGTGCGAGCTAGAGAATTGGCGAGTAGAGGCTTTGAGAGGAGTCGGAGGTAAGCGAGCTACATGGTGCTCAACTGGCCTCATTGGAGGCTTCGCTTGCGCTGCATCATGAGCAAGTAGATGTATGCATCAAAAGGAAGGCTGCTCTGATAGCTCAAAAGTCCACCTTCAACAAGCAAGGACAACCCATTTGACCAAGATGAGGGCTTTGAAGGCGGAGATACTGAGGATGACGGAAGAGTATAGTGAGATGGAGAGAGAAGTGAACCAATGGAGAGCGGAGCCAAGTTTTATATGATGAGCTGACCGGACTCAGTTGTACCATTGAGTCTGGGACTACCTTCGTGTCACAAGTTTCCCAAGCAGTGATTGATCTCAGGGAACGTACGTAGAAGGCTATTGTGTACTCCGAGGAGGCAAGAGCAAAGATCGGTGAGGCCGTTGGGCGCCCTTCTTCCCACTGTTCTTTTACTGCTTTTAGCCCTTACTTGTACATGGACCTTGACAAGATATATAGAATGAAATACCCCTTTTTGGCTTATGTTTTAATCCACCTTTTCTCATTTTTGTGGTTTGCATTCTTTTGCCCTCTGTTGCTGTCTCTTTGAGAATGGTGAGCTATCGAGAGCCTCTTTTGTGGACACGTTCACCCCCTCCCCCATGTGTCTTTGACTTAAACGGCCTTTCAGGTTTTCGTTCAAGCCCTTAGGTGTGCAATTTCTGTTTTCGCAAAACCCCGTGAGATTCTTTTTTTGGGTTTTTTTCCCGTCTTTTACTCACGATAGCTGATGGTGCTATAATGCCCTGTCATCTTTTCTTTATTTCCTTTTGACTTTCTTACCCATGACACCCTCTTGGGTTTTAGTCATGTCCATCTTTTGGGTAGGCAACTTTAGGGTCATGCCGCCGAGACCGTAATAAAAGTGTGTTTAGGGTCATACACCAAGACATGAGGGCATGTTTTAAGGTCTTGCCTCTGAGACCGTAACGGGTCGATGAAAATTTGGCTTAGAGAGGGAAGATTCAACAGGTGGAGGTGAAACGTTTTTGTGACTCGGGAAGGATCAACTTGAGAGAGGGGCAATTCATGAAGTGAAGGGGATGGGAGTGAAAGTTCAGAAGATGGTGGTGATGAATTGGGAAGGGCCACCATACTGATTCTATGACAGACTTCATATTGCTGGCAGAGGTGTGAAAAACTCTGGTATATCTAACCCCTTTTCTCTTGTCATGTTGAGCAGCACTTACCTTAGTGGCTTTGAATGGAGCAATCATCCCTTTGTTGTCTTTTAGTCATTGATTGGTCATGGGCGTATAATTCATCTTCCTTATGATTTGATGGGCTTGGTGACTGTAGAGACCCCATTCTGGCAGCACCTTAGCATCTTTGTAGGGCGGTCCTTTAGTGGCCCCAAGTGCCGCAGGATTTTGGGTCTCTGAAACGAACCTCAGCAATGGTTTCACAGCTGTAAATTTCAAGGGGACCTCTTCCACCTTAGTCTTCCCTTTTCTAATGACTTCTAGTTGACCAAGGAGTTCTTGAGCTTGCTTCCTTAGATCAACAATGGTGGCCTAATCCAAGTGGTCGAGCCGAGGAAGATGGGTGTTACTAGGAGCTTGAGCTGGCGATGGGGGAGTCCCAATTATAACTGAGTGAATCATATCCCCTCTTGTCAAGGAATCTGAAATGTATAAGATCTTTTGGGAATCGCACATAGGAGCTGACCTTTGGGTAAGGTAAGTGATGTCCTCCCCTCTTAAAGTGGTTGGGATGCGCAAGACCTTGTGGTCGACTTGGCTAGCCTTGATGGTCCGGCGTGATGCTCCTGCCTTTAGGAGGGGAATGAGAATATACATGACTTTTTGATAATCCGGTGTGTAAGTTACCCTGGGTGCTAGAGTATCAATGTCCATGACTTCCTCATACTTTGTAGCAGGTTCCGGTTCTTTTATCACTATGTGTGACTCTGAAGTCGAGAGAATGGGAGATGAGGTTTGCCCCTCATGGTATTCAGGTGGCTCCTCCAAGGGAGAGCAGGGGACATTTGCATGAATAGAAATCAGATGGAGGATCCTGCCATTCCTCTCCTCCTCTTGGAACATGCCAAGGAGCATTCTTCCCACATCCTCTGCATCATCATGAGAAGATCCCTACACCTTTTTCGCGAGATCGGCTCTTGCGGGCATCACAATCTCCTGAGGTGACTCTAGGTTGGCAAAGTAGTACTTTGCATCCACATAATGGATTTAAGTTATGGGAAAAGGTCTTTTATCACCATAAACAGTGTACCGTCTCCCTTCCCGACTGTACTTGAAGCATTGGTACAGTGTGGATGGCACCACCCCTTGATCATGCATCCATTGACGACCAAGTAAGATGTTATATGAAGTATCTGTCTCAATCACATGGAACTGGGCATAGTCATTCAAGTCACCAATTTTGAGACGGAGACGGATAGTGCCAGCTGGCTTCTCCCCTGACTGATTGAAGCCCTGGACCATGAGGGTTGTTGGTGTGAGATCTCCAGGTCCCAACCTTATGCAAGTGAGAATTCTTCTTGGGATAAGGTTTACTACAGAACCTCCATCTAGCATTATTCGGCTGATTGGGATGGGCATGCAACTCACCAGTCACGAAGAGGGGCGATTGTGGAATTTTCCTCCCAACTGAAGGTCGTTGTCAGAGAAAGTGACGACCACATAGGTGTTAAGGATCGTTGGATCCACTTCGATCCGCTCAACTTTGGTCTCGTATACTTCAGCATGGGAGAGAGCTTGTATGAGAGCCATGCGGTAATCACTTGATAACATGAGAACATCATAGACACTCAATAGGGCAGGGAGTCTCCTTAGGTGTCCAGCCACATCATACTTGACCTTGTCATCATTTGGTTCATGGACTCTCGGGCTCGCCACTGGCTTTGATGGTATGGGAGGTTGTAGAACAGGTTTAGGAGGATTGTTTGTGAGTGTGAACTGGTTTAATTGCATGGTCGGGGTAGGTTGAGCAGGTGCGGACTGGCTAGATTGTGCAACCAAGTAGACTTGCTTGATTGCACAGTCGGAGTGGGTGTAGGTTGGTCAGATGGATTGGTTGCAATGGGTATGGGCAGGCTTGGTGGCATAACGGGGGCAGGTGGCGGTAGAATCGAGGCTGGTGTGGCTTGAGAGGGTTGAGGGTTTATGATGAAAGTCGGGGATGGATTTGGGCATAAAACTAAGGGCTGTCTAGGGTATTTGAGGAGGGGTGGTGGATTGAAAGGAATATTTGGGTGTGGCATCAGTGGTGGACCTGGTTATTTCAAGAGCCTTGGTTGCTTAGGCTTATGTATGAGTGGTTAAGCTTCTTCCTAGACCTCAAATCGATCTAACTGACCTTGACTATTCCCCAGAGACTTGCGGCATGCTTCATAAGAAGAGTAACTAGCCCATTCGTATCTCTCCATTGTTGCTCTGGGTCAGACTTAGGGGGCCATCGAGACTTTTTGGGTTTGGAGGCTAGTGCATAAGCAATCGTTAAGA